TTTTGTGTTTAAACAAGTTCTATATTCGGATTATATTGGGATTTTGTGTTTAAATATAGAACTCTCAATAAGTTCTATATTCGGATTCCATCCATATTGGGATTTTAGAAACATAAGTTCAAAACTTTACAAACCTACGTAGGCTATATTTTGTGTTTCTATATTCGTATTTTAGAAACATAAAAATTACGTAAACACTTGCTATTATAAAAAGGGAAAAAATGTAACCTAAACTATGATGTCATAGTTTCACTATTCAGTTTTACTCGAGTACGTTTCTCCTTCGTTTGAAGAGTTCTATTGTTTAGAGATCATATAGCAGGAATGTTATCACAATAAGTTTATACGGCATTTTAATTATACATTATTAAAAACTATGGGAGTATGATACTTTAGCATCAATATGTTTAAAATATGTGATATTACGCATTATACCGGATTGTATTATTCTCTAATACGTCAACTTGATACATCCAAGTCCAACTGGACAATCAAAGTTGGTGTTACGCGCCCCTGTGATGTCATCAATCACAAAAGGCAAGGAAGCTTAATTTGTTTAGACATGGTTCTGATTGATGAAGTAGTATACTTTTTTTTTTTAAATTCCAAGTTTTGATACATCTATTTTACACAAAAATCTAATAATTTTTTTTCATGAGAATACCAATGGCAACAATGATCCGTTCATTAATCATTACGAATAAACAGTAATACTATTTCTTACACCATTAAAAACATAAGGGAATTTGGAATAATGCACATTGAAAGAATCCGATCCCACTCACCAGAATGTGCTATGGTGCTTTTCGTGAGTGGATCTAGCATTTGAATTGACCATGGAAGGTGGAATACGTTTGGAATCCTTGGACTCCTCAAACTGCTTTTCTTTACTCCGTATTAGAGTAATTTGACGACTCATCATTGTCCAATTGAGAAAGAGTTTTGAAATTTTAAAAAGTACACTTTTTAACATTTTCAATGTGACAAAATAATGAGTAAAATGTAACATCTCGCTATTAAAATTAAAAAATAAGTATGTATACCATTCAGCCAGAACTTAATCATTTTCAGCATAATCAGCCGATTCGATCAATTTTAGTGTTATCAAACAAGCTCTATATTAAACTAAAGGGTTGTTTACTTTTTTCTATCAAGTCATGTTTGGATTAAGACGTCTGTCTAGGTTAAGATGTATGCCGCGATAAAATGATATTTGTATATCAAGTTGTTATTTTTGTATGCTGAATAAACAGTTTGAATCGAGTAAAATAACCAATTTAGTATTGTTATTAGATTATAGTGTCAATGAAAACTTCATTTATTAATATAACTTTTTTCTACAATCAATAAAAAAAAAATTGAAAGAAAAAAATGCGTTAATAGACGTCTTAATGGGAAAGACTGCTATTCTCCAGCTTAATAATTAAGCCGATCTTTTGATTGAATGATTAAAGCATGCTTCCAATTAAGTCGTAAGTAAACATTACTTAATGAATGAATGATTAAGTCATTATTGTCATTAAGTCTATTAAATCGAGAGTAAACAACTCATGAGTTTATTTTGCTTTTGCATCACAATATATATCATTTTGAAACATCACATTTAAAATTAGATAAAATGCATGGGCTTGAAAACTAGTAATAATAATAATAGAACGGAGGTAATAACTGCTAGCACGGTTAACGTTATTCACAACAAAGTCTCAGCAAGTCCGACTAATTTTTTTCAACGATCTATTGTGTGTACATACTAAATACTCCCTAGCTTTTTTAATTAATAAAGTACGGGGTACTAGTTTTTAATGTTGCCGGCCGAACATACGGGTCAATGCTAAAATTATTGCAGATCGAGATCGAGATGAATGGAGATTACGAGAGTTTTTATGTAATGTGTTAATTGTGTGCTTTTGAGAAAAGAGTTTTTAAACATGATACTAGTAGAAAAAAAGTTATGCAAATTTCCCTCAAAGGAATAAAAAGCATGTCAAAATCAATATACGAAGTACTAAATATCACTCTAGACGTCCAATTAGTCCTCATCAAAGTGTTACGCAATGGTCGAGCGTCTCGATTTTAATATGACATCCCGAATAATTGATTTGACGTCTAACTAAATTAGTTGGTGCCTAGGGCGCTTAAGTTGATTGCTCTCCCAGAACACCTAATCGACCACCTAAGGTGTCTTAATTTGTGAAAATTTTTTGTTCCTTTTAATTTATCTTTATGGAAAGCTAGTTGTAGATTTGAATAAAAATTATACGTAGTATATGTTTGTGTATATTGTTTCATAATAAAGTCAAGTGATTGGTTATAATATAGAAAAAATGACATGTATATATATTACTAAATGAGCTTTACCGGACATAAATATGACTAGTTATATTTTTTGGATAAAAATATGACTAGTCACTATAAGATTAACTGAATAAGAGTCACTATAGTGTATTTCAGAGTAACAAGTCACTGATAAATGATAAGTCACTGAAAATTAGTCACAAGATATGTCACTTTTTTTATTTGTTTTAAAATAAATCATATTTTTCTCTTTTGAATCTAATTTAGTAATAGTTAGGAAAAAAGCTTATAATATATTCTTCACCTTTATTAATATAATCATTACAAAATAAAGTCAAATGATTGGTTATAATATATTTTTTAAATGTGATAATTCTATCATTGATGCGTGTTAATGTGTGTATATAGAACTACAAACACACACACACATAATATTACTTATCATATTTATGGTTTTTAAAGAACTTATCATATTTATGTTAAAAATTGATAAACACATTATTTTTGTGTCTTCAACTAGTCCTCGTCTAGGCACGAGACTGGTGCCTAATGTCTTTTAGAACATTGACCCAAATAAGAGCGCATTTGGAGATCCTTTTTTTTAAGTTCATCCCTCTTATTAACTAATGTTTTCTTCCAGTTCATAACATTTGATCTTGCAAGTGGTATCGTATAATAATCTAAATAAGTGAAGTTGAAATTACTTTCTGTTTGAATTGGATGCAATTACTATAAATGACCATTTCAGCTATTATTTCATTTTTTATCTTATTTATAAAAATATGGAATATTTAAATGTATTTTTTTCATAATTCAACTACTTCAATTTCACCAATTCAGATGTTTCAATTAAAAGTTCATCGATTTGAGCAGCTTCACACGATCGAGCGAATTCCAGTATTGCCTGAAGGCTCTAGAAGTACTATGTTGAGAACTCTTCTTGTCAGGCCAGCCTGACGGGAACCTCCGTCTGGCCGAGCCTGTTTGGGCACCTTCCCGGTGGATTTTTTTGATGAAATTTTTTGAGCATGTTCTTCATCAAGTCTAGTTTACCCATACCAATTTTACTCTAAATATTCAATCGGGAAGACATTCAAATCATTTTTTAAAGTTGACTGCGTCAAAATATACATATAAAAACGCAGTCAACTTCAAAAAAATACTTGAATACCTTCCCGATCGAGTTGTGAGCTGAAATTTGGTATGGACAAACTAGCTTTGATTAGGAGCATGCTCAAAAAAATTCATCAAAAAATTCCACCGGGGAGGTCGCCAAAAGGGCTCGGCCGGACGGCACTCCCGGTCAGGCCGGCGTGACATGATGATTTCTCGTACTATGTTTATTTGTCAATCGTCCCGCTAATATTGTTTCATTTTTCCTTTTCGGGAAATCCCACTAAGATTGTCTTACACCAAATTTGGTAAAGATTGTGATGCTCTAATTTATTCTTACTTTATTCCTACTTTATCAATTCCATATCAGCCATATAGATTCACTTTTCTTAATAACCGAGTCACTTTCTTATGTTTCAATGTTAGTGGGACGGAAGTAGTAATTGATTGGTTAAAAAGTTGAGTGATAAGGCTGATAGGATGAAGAACACGCCATAGAGGGTGTAAGTCTCAACAATAAGAACATGAATTTTGATGGATAATTTGTCATGTCAACCCTTAATGAAGTTAACTTTAAGGTGACAACTCCGGTACCCATTTAAAAAATGGGGTACCGTACCTACCATTCAATTGATTGGTACACATCATGATATCATTTTTTTAATTTAGATTTAAATAATAATTCAACTGTAAATTCTTATTGGACCATGTGGACAAATGTATGGTAACTTATGAGTACCATATAATCTACCTAACTTTAATTATGAGTACTAATTACTAAACACCAATCAAACTGTAATCGAATCTGACTTTAATATCATGTTAAGGTTCATGGTTCCATTCTAAAGAGTTAGCTTGACCTGAACCTCACTAATAAGAACATGAATTGAAGTTTGATGGGTATATTTAGTCATCTGGGACAAAACAAATAATGTGTAATACACGGAGTATAAATAAAACTTAGGTGTTGCTACATTGACACATTTTTTAAGAATGAAATAGTAAAGGTAATGAATGGTGTAGAAAAAGTAGAAGAGATTGTGGAAAAGTATGAAAAAGAAGATAAAAGGTAGAAAAAGTAAGGATAATTGAATATTTTTAAAAGAAAAACTTATAAAAAAGGAAATAAAAAAAGGATTATTCTACGAGCTTTGACTTAAATCTCAAATCTTACTTAGCTTGCGCATGCGTCTTATCCCAAAAGAAATCTCTCTCATATAAATACAATAATAATACTCCGTATGATCCAATTATTCCTCTCTTTTCAGAACTTCTCTATATCCCTATTTCATCAATGTTATAGAAAAGTAATCACATATTAAGGAGAATTATAAAAGGACACTTCTATCTCAAGCAAATGCCTTTTGTTTTTCAAGAAAAAAATATTAATAAAAAGTGAAAAACATAAATTTGGAGGTTCAAATAACTGGTTGCAACCATAATAATTTGGGATTGGAGGATTCACACCATTATTTTGAAGAAAGATATATAGACAAGATTGACGTGATAAATGATTGGAATTCTCTAAATATTTTAGATAATGATAACGCTCCCTAGTGTTCAAGCACTCTTATTTTGGGAGGGGTCAATGAGTTTAAAAACAAGCCATATGACCTGTTTGACCTCTTTAGTGTATTTGAATTTTAATATAAAAGGAGCCCGGATGCGCCTCAACTGTATAAATAAAAGTTCCACCTACTTTTTTTCTCCCCCATCTAACATAGTCAAAACCCCATCATTTCTCTCAATTTCTATATTATTCCTTAGATTGATTCAACTCAAACCCAAACATGGCTGGTGAAATCCCGGAGGAGGCAACGGCGGCCGGGAAAGTCAAAGTGCTGACCAAAAGCTACGTGAAGCCGAGGAAGGCGGTGGGCAGGAATGAGTGCCAATTGGTCACCTTTGACCTCCCTTACTTGGCCTTTTTTTACAACCAAAAATTACTCATTTACCGCGGCGGTGAGTTTGAGGAGGTGGTGGAGAAGTTGAAGGACGGTTTGGCGGCGGTGTTGGAAGACTTTTACCAGCTGGCCGGGAAGCTCGGGAAAGACGAGGAAGGGGTGTTTAGGGTGGAGTACGACGACGACATGGACGGCGTCGAGGTGGCGGTTGCGGCGGCGGATGCGGTGGAGGTGGCGGATCTCATTAATGAGGAAGGGACCGCCGTGTTCAAGGACTTGATCCCCTACACTCACATCTTGAACATTGAAGGCCTTCATCGCTCACTTCTTGCCTTGCAGGTAATTAGCCATATAAAAAAGCCCACCATTTTTTGCACTACTTAAAATCTCAATGCTAACCCTCAATATTGTGAGAATATCAAATTTTCGAACTATTTTTAAATCTTTGTAAGTTTTAGTCCATTAGTCCATTAATTATCATTACAATGTGTGAATACACATGTATAGTGTCTTAATCTATTTATCTTTGAAAAAACTGACATGTATATTATTAACAGAGTTTTTCCATACAAAATTATGACTAATTATATTTTTAAACAAAAAATATGAATGGTCGCTATGTATGAGTAACTTGACAAGAATCAGTATAGTATACTTCAAAGTGACAAATTACTGGTAGATGATAGTCACTGAAAACTAGTTAACTAGTTACCGAATAAGTCAAAATGTCACTTTTTTGAATTTTTTTGAATAAGTCACATTTTTATCCTCTGAATTTTATTTAGTAATATTCATGAAAAAAGACTTTATCTTGCACTATGAAATGCTAATGCATCTTCAATAGAACATAGTTAATGTGCATAGTGTATAACATCATAACATGTGACAAATACACAAATTAATTAAAAAAAAATACCGATCGAACATAAAGAAAATAACGGATTTTTTTAATTTTCATTTCTTTTTATGTCAAATGTACATCAATAAATCATTACCGTCTTTTGATAATACAAATGGTTTGAATAACAATTTTAGAAAGATGACTAACTGTATCTCAACAAAATAAAATTGAGGCTTAAGCTTAACACATACGGAGTATTTTCTCGACTATATAGCTTCAAACAATTAAGAGACTAAAATTTCGCTTGTCCTTGAATCTAATTGCTAGAAGAATCAACTCTAGGAAACAGGAAGACTGCCCCCAATTTTCGTCTCCTAAAACACATACACACATTAATTATTTAGATCTACATATTTGCACACATTTTGTACATAATTATTATTTTTAAATCAGGGTACTCCAGTCAAATTTTCGACACCTCTAAGGTCATTTTAAATATCAAAAATTAAATATGAACGACTATAAATGAGTGTGAAACAATATAATTGTGGTGTGTGGGCAATAAAAATAGTCCTAATGTGGAAAAATGTGAGATTAAAATTGAAGTTAATATTTGCTAGAATAATGATAAATTATTCTAGAAGTGGACCTAATGTGGAAACATGATCTTTTGATAAGGTCTTTTTGACAAATATCCTTTGAAAAAGGTTGTTATCTGTCTTAGGAGTATTAAATTAATAATTGCACGCATTTTCTTCCAGAACAACTAATGCCTCATACTATCTATTTGAAATTTTGAACTACGTATAAGTTACTTTTTAGATCTACATTTTACACTAGTGCATGATGTTTTTACAATTAAAGCAAGTGGATCGATGAATAAAACTATATTTTCTATACTTCATTTTATTGTATATGAGCATGTAATTTAGTTATAAGACGTATATAGTGCATCTTAGCGAAGAACGTTAAAAAATAAAAAGTCTATCTAACGAGCACGAAATTACGTTGATCAGCAGATTAAAGTAATATGATCTTAATTATATTGTAATTAATAAATCCATCCACCACTTCAAAGTCAACAATCGAGCTGATGATGTTCTGTTTTATGATCCACATTATTTCAGCAATCTTATTATTGTTGTTTTTCAAGGAGTGAGATTACCAATTCAATATAAACGCATTAGTTGGACAATAAATTTCCAACTACTTACGCATTAGTTGGCCAGTCCCACTCTCCATTAATGTCTAGCTCCATTCCACCGTTGAGATTCATTATGCTCTTCACCCTTTATTTCTAATTCGAATACATCATATGTCTAGTATAGTCTACAAAAATTTGGTGGATGAACCGTAGGTGGCTAGAATATGGTTGTTGTGACTCCGTACTTGTTAGTTAGATTTATTTCAGTCACACACTAAAATAGTCACTCATGATCAAACTCCGGACACCTATATAAATAGATTAGACCTAACTTCAACAAATTTGATCAAATCAGAAAATGTTAGGATAGATCAATAAGAATATCAGATCATAATACATCCTCCGGCTAACAAATACCTTTAACTTTTTCTCGTTTTACCTTTTTGGTCTGTCTCATTAAGTTTGTCTCATACCTTATTTGGCAATATTTGAAAAGTTACAATTCATTCTTACTTTATTCACATTTTATCAATTCAACATCAATCGCACAATTTCACTTTTTCTTAAGAGTTATGTCACATTCTTTTGTCTCAAATATAGTGAACGGAACTACGGAAGTAGTAGTTTTTAGAGTCTATTAACATTTTCTAAGAAAGACAGAGATTAATATTACTTTCATATAATTTAGTGTTCTATTCATTTCATTGGAATTTGTTAACTTTTCATTTTGTATTGTCCAGAAAACTTTACCTCTATCGCATTAAAATAATTAGTTTATGTTTTTGGTTATTTGTCTCACCTTTAGTGTACAAACTTCAATTACAAGATTTTTATTTTTCTTATTTCTCAATTCAAAATGGCAGTCCATAGGAAATAATAAGTCTACATATAGTGTTATTTGATGTTCTTGTACTTTTATTTATTTAAATTTGTGGCAATGCCTGCCCTTTGTTAATTATAATTTGGTATGTGCAGCTCACCAAACTCAAGGATGGACTCGCGATTGGATTGGCATTCAATCACGCGGTGCTAGACGGTATGTCCACGTGGCATTTCATGAGCTCATGGGCAGAGATATGCCGTGGGGCCAACTCCATCTCGGTCCCACCCTTCCTCGACCGCACAAAGGCTCGACAAACCAAAGTCAAGCTCAACCTATCCAAGCCATCCGACGCCCCAGAACACGCCAAATCAGCACCGGTCAACGGTGACGTCACGGACCCTAAACCGGGCCCACAGCTCCGGGAGAAAGTCTTCAAATTCTCCGAGTCAGCAATCAACAAGATCATAGCAAAAGTCAACGCCGGCGCGCTACCATCGGACGGCACAAAAAAGCCCTTCTCCACATTCCAGTCCCTCTCCACGCACGTGTGGCACGCGGTGACACGCGCCCGGGAACTCAAGCCGGAAGACTACACCGTCTTCACGGTGTTCGCCGACTGCCGCAAGCGCGTCGACCCCCCGATGCCGGAGAGCTACTTCGGGAACCTGATACAGGCGATTTTCACGGTGACTGCCGCCGGAGCTCTGCTCGGGAGCCCGCCCGAGTTCGGGGCGGGCTTGATACAGAAAGCGATCGAGTCGCATGACGCGAAGGTGATCAACGGGCGTAACGAGGAGTGGGAGAAGGACCCGAAGATTTTCGAGTTTAAGGATGCGGGGATGAACTGTGTGGCGGTCGGGAGCTCGCCGCGGTTCAAGGTCTACGAGGTCGACTTCGGGTTCGGGACGCCGGAGAGCGTGAGGAGTGGGTCCAACAACAGGTTTGACGGGATGCTGTATTTGTACCAAGGCAAAAGTGGCGGGAAAAGCATTGACGTGGAGATCACGTTGGAGGCGGGTGCTATGGAGAAGCTGGAGAAGGATGCAGAATTCTTGGTGCACTAGATGGATGATGATGACAATTATTATTATTATGATCATTTTTATGACAATTATTATTGCTCTATAATAAATTACTCCGTAATTAATCAATTCTGTATAATAATCATTGAAGTTGATCGTAGAGGACGCCGGCTCTAACATATAATTAGTAGAACACCTTATTATATTATTATTGCTATTGGATAATTTTATTATTATTATTATTATTTTATACTTGTTCATTTTTTAATGGAAAGTACTTATAATAATATGCATAAGGACTTTTTAATAAATAAATAAATAAGGAAAATGCTATAAATACAAACAAAATTACAAAAACATATACTAGTACTATGTACAAACAAGTGATATGATTATTGTAATTATCATTGATGTAAAAGTTATGTAAAAGTTACGTGATGTGTTAAATATGTGATTTTGTCACATAATTCTTTTGTAGGACTTTTTGTAAGAGTGTAAGAATCCCTACCATAACTCAATAACCAATTTATCCATTAAATTACACCAATGAAGGGATAGTGATCCCAATTTATCCAAGGCCCCCCAACCCCCTCTTCCCGAGTCCCGATGCCCCCTGAGGTATTTAAAAAAAACGAACGGAGTATCAGAGGTACAAGTGAATGAATAGTCTACACTACAATGAGATAATATGAGATATAAAGTGGAAAATATCCCATGAATCTTTTTAGATCGCTAATCTCGCAGTAATGTATTCTAATCAGCTAACTAAAAACAAAAAACTAAAAATAAAATATCCGACTTCACCAACCACAGGAAAGGGAGAGCCGGTTTGACTAAGTGACTAACAAGCAATAATTGAAGCTCAACTGAGCAGAAATTGATTGAATCACCGATTTGACCAGCCATTGAAAAAGAGATCCAATTGAGCACAATTGTTTTCCTCTGAATAATGAAGCGGTGGTTCAGAGGGAGAGCGAGTAGTTGAATCTTAGGAAGAACTAGGTTGAACCCGTCTAGCCAATCATTAATAATGAAAATTCAACACTCAATAGATTACACTGACGAAGAACACACATCTTCTAGACGGTGCTAACTTGCTATAAGAAGAACAGATCTTACATTCACCTAAATTAAAGCGGGCATAACTCTCATCCAAAGAAGCCAAACTAAAACAAAACCTTAAAGATAAAAACAAAAACGAGTGGCAGCATAGGAAAACCTTCATTATATACTGATAAGATAACATCGCTATCATCCAAGACTTTTACTAATGGAAGAAGAGAGCCATGTGATTAGATTTTCCGAGCAATTCACCGCCTAGGATTTCACTAAGATCGGCTCTAGCCCTCAAAGCATTCGCTCGACACAAACTTGTAACACCTTGCACAGAGGAGAGTTAGTTAGTTCTCAAATTAAACAAGTTAACAACTGAAAGGTTAAACTAGTGGTGGTCAAGATATCTAGCTAGCCAATAACCCTACAAAATCAACATGTTGTAATAGATATATATGCATAATAGAGTAATCTTCCGGTCAGGTATACCTGACCGGAGCCGCCGTCCGGCCTCCTCCTTTTGGGGGCCTTCCCGGTGGTATTTTTTTCTCAAATTTTTTGTGTATGTTCCTCATCAAGTCTAGTTTATCCATACCAAATTTCAGCCAAAAATTCAATCGGGAAGGACGTCAAATGATTTTTGCAAGTTAACTGGTCCGGAAAATACATATTCCGGACCAGTTAACTTGCAAAAATCATTTGACGACCTTCCCGATTGAATTTTTGGCTGAAATTTGGTATGGATGAACTAGACTTAATGAGGAACCTACACAAAAACTTTGAGCAAAAAATACCATCGGGAAGACCCCCAAATGGAGGAGGCCGGACGGGGGCAGTGGTCAGGTATACCTGACCTGAGAGGGGTACATTGAGGGCAGACAGTTGTCCCAATATATTTCTAAGGAAGTTAAATCCAAAGAAGTATATAGTAATAATTTGGGTGCTTTTATTTGAAATGATATAAATTGCCCCCTTATAAAATTATTCTTTTGCACCCAACAATTTTTTTCATTTCCCTAATAACTTTTTACTAGAAAATAAATGAAAGAATGGCAAAAATAAGACTACCTGATTTTAGGTGGACAAAAAAAGATCAATTTTCATACAAGACAACTAAGTGATTCAACTTTTAATTAGACAAGAATAGGACCCATTTTCATGTAGTACAAATAAGTTATCAAAGTTATGTGAAATGTCTAAATTACACAGATGTGTTGGAAAAATGTGTTAAACATTGCATTAAATGGTAATTTTGGGAAAACTTTTTGAGTGGGGTCCACTTCTGATTTGAGTCGGGTCAAAGTGGTTTCGGATTATCCTTGTTAAGGGCTACAATTCGATATATGGTACGCTAAAAACGGATAAAGGGTGAATGAGAAATTGATTCTCGAAGTTTGCCCGTTGGAATGGAAAAAGGATGAGTTTCTAGTGTGTTATTTCCCACACCCGAAAACACAAGGGATTTGCAACCCCTTATAAAGGGAAGCCTCTTTTAAGGAGTTAAGATTCCTAAGGTGAAAGGCTCTCTCTCTCGCGTAGGGGGGGTGCAAATCAAATCCCGAAATGGAGAAGAAAAATCGCAACTTGCGTGTGCGGGCGACCTGCGGACACGAATATCGTCCAAAAATCTATCTCTCAAGAGATACGATGTTCTGGTGGATGCGGAATAGAACACCTTGTAGGTTGTTCTGGTGGGGGTCTTCTGTCGAGCAGCTGAACGTTCTACCGTTACAACAATAAATGTCCAACGTTCTTATGCCTTTATGCAGCGTTAAATGGATAGTTCATGGACGATTCAATGCCCAACGGACTGGTCATTGATGTCCAACGTTCAGGTCCATTAATTCACCATTAACACACAACAAATTCTCCTACATAATGGCTGGCAGGTGGTTTGCAACAAGACACGTTCATACACATTCCTCACGCATTTTTGAGCTCTAAAACACCTCCAGCATTCTGAAATTTCCTAAGTGTTCTGCTTGTGTTACTGTTCGGCGGAACATTTGTTTGTGTGCTCAAACGATAGTTCGTTAGCCACCATAACGATCGTTGCAACGCTCCTAGCACCGTGGGAGGCGACGAATACGTTTTAAGGACATCGTGCGTTGCACGAGCTCTGACTATTTTCTGCTCCATCTTATTTCTGTTTTTCTTTCGTCATTTTAATTAATTTATTTTAGCTTATTTTCTTTATTTTCCGAAACATGCCTAACAATCTTAAAACGTAGTCGTAGTTCGTCACTAAGGTGAACAATCTTAAAACGTATTCGGAGTTCATCACTGAGGTGAACAAACTTAAAACGTATTCGGTGATTACTGTGGTATACAATCTTAAATCGTAGTTTGTCACTTCTTTGAACGAACTTATTTTTTTGTGTTTTCGGAAAAAAACGTTAAGAAAACGAAAATGACTTCTCAAGAAAACCAGGATGTTGTTGGGTAGAATGTGTTGAACGACACTCGCTCTAAAAGCGGAGCTCCGGTGAATAATAGTTCACAATGCAGAACAGCTGCTTTGAACCAAAGGGTTATCCCTATGGTTACCGTGCCAAGCAACTCTGTGGAGAAACCCGAGAAATTCAATGGGTTAAACTTCAAGAGGTGGAAGAAAAAGATGCTCTTCTATCTCACTACTCTCGGTCTTGCACGGTTCTTGACCGAGGACGCTCCGGTTGTAGCCGGGGGCGAGGTGGATGCGAAATCCTTCAACGCGGTTGAGGCATGGAAGCATTCTGACTTCCTTTGCCGAAACTATGTGTTGAACGGGCTGCATGATGCTTTGTACGACGTATATAGCAAATTAGCTACGGCTAAGGAGCTATGGAATGCTTTGGACCACAAGTATAGAAGCGAGGATGCCGGCACAAAAAAAATTATTGTTGGTCGATTCCTTGATTTTAAAATAGTGTATTTGAAGACGGCCTTGAGTCAAGTCGAGGAGATGCAAATGATCTTCGACGAAATTCAAGATGAAGGAATGACAATTAGTGAGTCTTTCCAAGTGACGTCAATTATTCATGTATTGCCGCCGGCTTAGAAGGATTTCAATAACTACCTTAAGCATAAGCGAAAGGAAATAAACTTGGAGCAGTTGATCCTCCGTCTGCGGATTGAAGAGGATAACCGGAAGAACCATGGGAAACTCCCAATCATTCACGGCGCCAAGGCAAACGTGGTGGAGTTCCAAAACCAAGAATAATGGGAAGAGTAAGCTCGGTCCCAAGGGAGGCATTTCCATGACTAAGTTCAACGGAAAATGCTACAATTGCAACAAGAACAGACGCAAGTCCTCAGATTGCAAGGCACCAAGGAAGAAGAAAGACTCTCAAGTCAACTTGGTGCAAGGTGGGCAAAAGGATGAAGACATCATCCTGGCGGCCGTGGTGACGGAAGTCAACCTCGTTGGATCCAATTCCAAGAAGTGGTTCGTGGACACCGGTGCTACCCGACATATTTGCTCAAACCGGGAGCTATTCACGACCTTTGAGCCATCAAATTGTGAGAAGGTGTGGATGGGGAATTTTGCTCATTCCGCGGTTGAAGGTGTGGGCAAGATGGTCCTGAAGATGACTTCGGGAGAGGAACTGACTCTAAACCAAGGTTTGTTCGTTCCAGAAATACGCAAAAACCTGAATTCTGGTTCGTTGTTGAGCAAACACGGCTTTCACATGGTTTTTTAGTCGAATAAATTAGTTTTGACCAAGTCGGAAATGTATGGGCAAGAGGTATGCATGTGACAGGCTGTTTAAGCTCAATGTAACAACTATTATTATTAATAATAATAAAATCTCTTCTGCTTACTTGCTTGAATCTTCCAATGTGTGTCATGGTAGACTAAGACATGTTAATTTTAATTCTATACGTAGATTAATTAACATGGAACACATTCCTAAATTCACAATTGATGTGAATCACAAATGTAAAGTTTGTGTCGAGGCAAAACTAACGAAACTTCTTTCCAATCGGTTGAAAGAAAAATGGAACCACTAGAATTAATTCATAGTGACATTTGTGATTTTATATCAATACAAACATGTGGCGGTAATAAATATTTTATTACTTTTATCGATGATAGCACTCGCTATAGCTATGTTTATTTGTTGAAAAATAAACACGAAGCAATCGATAAATTCATTCTTTACAAGAATGAAGTGCAAAACCAACTTAATCGACAGATTAAAACAGTGAGAAGTGATCGAGGTGGTGAGTATGAAGCACCAATTGGTTACTT